TTTGTACTTATTGACGGTCCACAACATATTATTGACCGCTGGTGGACAGTTGCCGGGAAACAGTAAAATTTTGTGACTTTCACGTGGTACACTCTCGACCAATAAGATACTAGGAAAAGTGAACTTTGACACTTGATACATAATAAAACGACTTGTTTAGTTGGCTAATCAGGAATTTCCACGGTTGACTCCACCCAAAGAGTGCACTTAAATAAATATCAAAAAAGGATTACTGAGACACAATTATCGTGAAAGAAAAATAGTTGAGCAATTACCATTAAAGATGACATCAAAATGAAATTAAAACATTTTCAAGATTTATAAAAGAAGATAAATTATCAAGGAAATGTCAAGTTAGAGATAACTATGATGATATCATAATAAAGCGCGAATAAAATAGAAAAAAAAAGAAGAAAAATATTATCAGTTCATCCGTACGATTACCATCAATATAAGTATTCAAGGTCCACTTGTTTGGTAATTTTGAACGCTCTTTGGTCCTTCTCTTTCCTGACATTAATCTTACCATCAAGGGTAAACGTGCCATTTGTTCTGTTTGSATCTTTTTCTTATAAAGACGTCAGTCAGCCGTTCTGCCACACCTTTTAAGAATAATAACTTTTTAAAAAATAATCAGCTAGTGTAAATAAGCAGAAAGGAATGGGAACGAAGAGAACAGATTTAAAACATAGGTTGAAAAGACTTTAGGTGAAGAACTTCTCTCAACAGTGTTTTAAGAGGATGTTGCAAGGTCCAATGTGACAAAAATGTGGTACGAACGATTGTATGCAGGGGTACTGTGAGTACAGCTTGCCAGTACAAAATGAATTTCGGTCTTGAGATTACAAATTGTCAGAATTTCGCGTAATATAGGGGGAAAATTGAAGGCCTTAAATTTGTGTTGTGCTACATTATGAGATTGTAGCATTTATGGGACAACATGTAGATTTAAGGGTAAAAATTGAAATATAGTTTTAATTTTCTGAATATACAACTATTTGAAATAATGCTGAGAAATAGAGCATTAGTTATATAGTAAAAAGCAAAAAGACGATCACTCGGGCTGAACATATTCTTTTGTCTTCCTTTTCACTAAGGCCTATCATCGTCCCGCTTGCCTCAAAATGTGTTTTCGTTGTTGTTGATTCCTTTGAGGGAACTARAACAATATAAAAACACGGGGCGACACTAGAGTTAGGATAACCCTAACCCTAACTATTATTTTACAATTTGCATTGTGGTAATTCCTGTAAATTACTGATACTTATTTATTTCAGCTAAGCGAGCTCGACCGCGTTAAAAATTAATTATTACCGGTAAATATACAAAGTTTCCTACATCTACCAAAATTGCCATCAGAAAATATAGCATTTATTCCACGTAATATTTATTTTTTTTACATCACATAACGTTTAACGTTAAAAATGAAAATTTTAGCACCAACAGACCAGAGACCTACTCTTAAATATGAGATCATCTTCTAATTACGCARCAAAATCCCAGTTAAAATATGGGATCATCTTCTATATAATTACGCAATAAAATCCCAGTTAAAATTTAAAATTTATAAATTACGTTRCGATAAATCTTTAAAAGCTTCATTGTGAAATACAATAGAGAAATTCGGCGAAAACTAAAAAAAGAGAATCCTCATGTTAGATAAAATATAAATCGACCCTGATAAAGTCTAATTTTTTCTAATTTTTGTCGACATCAGTCTTCTCTCCACAACCATCTTGCTGACAATCATCATTTATCCGCTAAGGATTAGCCGTACATATAAAGATTACCAAGCTATTTCTCCTAAAAAAATCAAAGTTTATTTAGAAACAAAATCAAACTAACATTAAAATAGACTTGGGTTCTTCTTACCGATATCACCTCTATGCTTTTCCCATAATTGGGGTTGGATATAGATGTTGCTGCAGTTGTCTTTTCATTGGTCTTTGGTTTATCGTATATTGCTGGATGTAACGATGAAGGTACCTTGGGTTTATCAACGCTAAGAAATAAAACATACCAAGTTTCAGCATACGTAAATTGAACGCCGTGTTTAGCGCTACGTTAGAACAAAAGGCGTTCTGATTGATTGTACGGATATCTTGTAATGATGGAAMAAGTGACAACGAATGTTTTGTAAAGCGAATGTTATTTCAAAGCGATCAGAAGATATATACAGACATCTCATAAAAACCCCACTAATGTTATAAAGACGCCAGTTCTTAATTTTACAAAAGGTTAGCAGTAGAGAATGGGAAAAAAACTTGCTCACAAAACCCACAAAATTAGATACAAAATGTAGATAACTTCAAGTGTGAAAACAAATTCTAATACAAAAGGATCTTACTTTTCATAAGCCGGATCTTTATTATCAAAAGCATGGTAGAGTGGGTTATCGGTCATCTTTGGTAAAGGTTCTTGGAATTCTGGACTAAAAGATCATATAACTGTTAATTCAGGTCAAAGTTGTTTTTACAATCTCTTCGTTAAAATACCTGTCATAGATATGCTCTGGTTCTTTAAGAGTGGGATCGTCAGCACTAAGAAGAATTCATATTCCCATGAAAAACAGCAGTGTAAAGCTCAAATATTACTGGACTACTCACCTTACGTACAGAACGTTGACTGTTTCATAGGCATTAGTTTGTGACCGTCTTGAAAGAAACAAAAAATTAAGTTAGACATATAATGACTTGTAATGACGAGGTGTGGCTGTACAGCAGTGCAGATAAGGAAGTGCAGATAATGGATGGATAATGGTTGGTGGACTTAATGGTAATGTGTTTTATACTCACCCACTTCTTGAAGGTGCCACGCTGAGTGAATTACGAGGTGCTGTGTACGTAACGCCAGCTGTAGGCTTTTCATTTTGTTTCTTACTTCTGAAATACACGATGTTGTGCAGTTAATTCCAGTTAATGAAGGATGAATTTTGCACGCGCCTAATTCGAGAACAATACATGTTTACACTGTTACAATGGCATWTTTTGAACATTTGTTTTTACCGTCGATACAAGAAGCAAACTAAGACGACGACAACGATGACAATGAGGGCGAGAAGACCTACAACGATGCCCACCACCATTCCTGTATTGTTGTTTTCCTTTACAGAAGCCAAAGTATCTCCTCCATTCTGTCCTGGTGGCTCAGAGCCTTTATTTGCAGTAGTTCCAGTATTGATTACAGCAGGATGAGATGTCGTTGTTGCAAATGTTGGTTTAATTGTAGAAATATATGGTGTGGTGTCTATTGTTGGTGAGGTGGAAGGATTAGTCATGGTGGCAGGAGGAGGAGAAGAAGTGCTATAAGGTGCAATGGTAGTGCTGCTATATGGTGCTGGTGCTAAAGTGAAAGTGCAAATATCAATTATTGCATTTTTATTTAATGAATATGATATTAAAAGTTAATTATAGTAGTTGTAGTAAAATACTAAAATACAAGAATGGTAATGTCAAAAGTGTTAGTCTAAACAATATGAATTAGATTATTCACTGCTTGAAAATCAATGATATTGAGTAGTTTGGGGTATAAATAAATCTCCCCCTAACCCTCTAATAGATCTGATAGTAGTCTAGGGTGTGCCTGTTTTGTTAGTGGGCCTGCTAGGAGAATTGCACAGAATACTTACTTTTRATGACATTCCCAGAACACTGATAATAAACTTCCATATAAGGCAGTTGACCAGCTTGACATGACAGACTAGAGTGAAAGGTAGAGACCTTGCAGACTTTATAATATTCGCACATTGTCATTACCTTTTGAAGTGTATCTGATGCAATACATGGCTTACTGGACACTGGATTTCCACATTTAGATGAAAATGGTAGAATACCATACATTGCATGCAGGACGTTGATAGACTTGGATGATGATGAACAATCAAGACTGACAGTTGAGCCACTACATGCTGTAGCAGTGAGAACATCACCTGACATAGCATTTTTGCAATTAATTATTTTGTAATTATACAGTTAGAGTAAACTCAGGAAAACCATGAAATAAAACCAAACTAAATACAAACAAATAGCAGCTATYAAGAGTATGTCAGTATCAATGAACCAGAGCGCAATCAAGATGAATCCACATGGAACTAAATGAGTGATTGATTGAGGCCTTGCTACTGTATAACTAAGATTTATTGAGTCAGAGCTTTTGCTGTAAACGGAATCATCAGAGACTAAAGTAATTAAGAAAATTAACATGGTATAAATGCAYGCGCGGAAATGTAGATCAACTGTGGTTGYTAAAACAATAGCAGGTCTAGTTCACTGTTTTCCTCACAGGAATTGATAGTGGGATTGTTTTTATATAAAATGCCTCTAGGAGTCTGAGGTTCAGGGAATCCTTCTCGCTGTCAAGGATATTAATAAGTAATGTTTCTGGGCTGCAATATACAAAAGTGGTGTCTTGGTGTCTTGGGTTTGAGGGCTTGGTGGAGTGAGGAGGATTTGTGGACRATTCTTACGTTGAAGCCTTCCTGTTTGAAGATGCTTTTGAGTTTAAAGTCTAGATTGTTGGAGATGTATGGCGTCGTTAGGTATAGCCATTTGGTGTTCTTCAAGGCGTGTTTGCTTATTGCTGGGTAGGCTACATCTCTCTTCAATTCTTTTACCCTCGTTTCGTATGACGTTCATTTTTGTTGATAGCCGGATTGTCTGATCTGTGTATATGCTATTGATTTCATTGTGGAATCTGTTAGCACTAGCTTCGTCATTAGTTTGACGGCAAATATCATCTACATATCTCCTATAGTGGTCAATAAATGTATGTGTRGAGGATGATAATGCGATTGTCTTGAGTCTATGCACGAAGAGGATGGCTAATATGCCTAAAACATTGGATCCCATGGGTAGTCCTTGGTTCTGAAGGTAGACAGTCGATTTGAAGGAAATATTTGTTTTCGAGAACCAATGTGAGTATGTTTTTGATGTCTTCGMAGTTGAAATGATTGATGTGCCAACTATATMTATGACATTCTCAATGGCTTTGCTGACTGGGATGTAAGTATATAGTRCAGTGATGTCAAGGCTGAAGGGGTACAGGAGTTCTTGTTCAGAAATTTGACTTCTAGCTTGGACTTTATTCATTAGGGCTAGAGATGTGCTGTGTTGGTCCATGTTTGTTGGATACAATGGGTCTGATTCTGATTCCCTGTTGGAGCTTGTGTGTTTTTWCGAGGTGGTAGAAGATAGGTAGGTCTGTGTTGGACGAAATGRAGCTCTTCYTGATGTAATTTGGGAAGTTGTATTTATCAAAGATGGTTTTCCATGTGTTGTTTACTTTTTTCTCTATGGTTTTCACTGACATGTGGTGAATCTTTCTGTAAGTTGTGGATATTGATCCACATGAAACTATTTTTAATTCACCTTGATTGCATTATGGTTCATTTATACTGACAATTTGCCTCTAAATAGCATCTATTTGTTARTATTTGGTTTTATTTCATGGTTTTCYTGCATTTGTTCTATAAATTGTTTTGACATTGAACAGGGTGAGGGGTATGTTTATAACATTAAAAACGTTAATACCTGAATAGAAAGAAGCTTGGAATCCCTTCCTGGCAGAGTTACTCTTGTCAGAATGAAAGTGAAGTCTTAGATAATTTTCAGTTGATTTAAAGATGGGTATATGAACTCCATTACACACACGACCAAGAGATGGTGAAGTGTCCAAGATCCCATTGATTGCTTTAACAAAATCACCTTGACAACCTTTTGACGTGCCATTATTGACATCAAAGTACTTGAAGAACATTGTAACCTTCTTGGATGTGTCACTCAATTTGATTATCCAGGTACAGTCAATTCCCATTGTGTAGGGGAATGGGTAGTTAGGTGAACTGATAACTCCAGATGGCTTGTTCAACATGAAAGTGCAGTCTGAAAACACAATATGCTGTTAAATTACCTGGAACAATCATTGATACGCATTTGTAGGGTTAAATAAAGGATTTCTTCTGCATGAGGAAATATGATAGCAACCTTAAATCTATCATGTTTAGGAGGAAGTGGTGGTGGTGGTGGTGGTTTGCATATCCTGGGGTCAGTTGTATGAAGGTTGGATAATGTTACCTACTGGTTAACCGTACACTCCATACTAGTAGATTTTGTGTGAATTTTATTTGCTCAATAAGGATTTATCTGATGGGTAGTGCTATTCACCCTTTTGTACAACCAAAGTTGTTTTACATATTGTAAAATAACAATAAGTCAAAAATGATTCCAAGTAAGATGTATGATGTCCATGAGCGTGCAACTAATGTACCTTTGTCATTTGAACACCCATAAAGTTCTACTCGCATGCACATATCATCCTTGAAACTTGTTGGATAGATTCTCAAATATTTGGTGACAAATGTATCACGCAAMACTACCTTCTTCACAGTAGTTGCATCTTTATTGGCAACAAAGTCCTAACAAAAGATAAAGCATGATTTTCTAAAGCATATCTATTATTAGGATTTTAGCTTTTTGGAATTAGACAATTGACGAGCGATCATTATGTTCTGAGTCTAGTAAATAAGCAAGTAGAAGGGGTATTGTGCTTGTGGAGCACTGAAGAGGATTGCTGTGGTAACTTCTTCTGTGGGTATCTGATTTAGTCTCAATCTTCCAGTATCAATATCAGGTTATCCTTTAGTGTCTCTGCAGTCTTTGTTTTTACAAGCCTTAGGCTACAATCTCCCGCATAAAAAAATGAGAAACCACGAATTATTACAATAAAATAACATTCTTTTCCCCACTCCCTTATTCATATTCAATGTTGATTTGGGGACTGCAATCAGATGAAACTACACCAAAAACGACAGAAAACTCTCCCACCAACATTGTACAAGGGAACAGGGTCATAAGTGGCCCGGTTTTTTTGCAGAAGATTGTAGCATTCACTATTCTTCTTGACTTTCTGATGATAAGCTATAGGAACATACCATAGCCACACAACCAGGMACTTGAATCATGGTGACATGGGTTCTTTTATATAATCAAATTCACCTATTAATAATACAGATGATTGTGATTTTACCTTAATAATAGCCGACATATTATCTTTATACCAGTACCAAACACGTCCATCATAACTGTATTTGATAGAGTAACGAAACACCCAGTATGTACCAAAGAATCTAGAAGCGTACCCTTGAGTAGCAATACCAGATATGTGCCTTACTCTGTCTAAACGGATTTGGAGATATTCTGTCCATTGTTTTTCACTATCACTGCACCAAGCTCTATTGTTATTTAGTCTTGCATTGTTTGCATAATATCCTGTATCACTGGAATATGAACTGAGCTGCCAGTCTTTGATTCTCTTATCTTCCATTCCTAAAGGACGACTGCATTCTACAAAACAAAGATTATTATTGACAATGATATTACATTACAACCATGTAATATACAATAATTCTGTTTATCACATAATCATAAGCAAATTATGTTGTAAAATACCTATTTTCACTTACAAATATAGAGAAACCTCAAATGTGTTATTTTCAGTAGTGATCAATTAACAACTTTTGAAAGAGAGAAATATTTGTATTTCATAAATAATTATATGATAAATATAATATCAGGGAAATCATGAGTTTTTATTGTAAGAGGAATAAGCAAGGTGACCAATGTAAATCATAGAGACAAATACCAAATAGRATGTTGATTTGTTCCATATCTATAAATCTAATTGCTAGCTGCATGTATAGTCCATGAGAATAGCCGACTTTAGATATTTTGGTTCAGTGACCATGCACAAAAGAATTGCAGACGAGGCTCCGGGAAAATAAAGAATAAATCAAGATTATCCATTGATAATTTTATTTTTTTTTAATATTGCAAAGAGTTATTTTGAAGTACACGCTTCAAAATGACCAATCAAAGAKCGTATAATATCGTTTTATTCTTTATTTCCCCGGAGCCTCATCTGCAATTCTTTTGTGCATGGTCACTGAACCAAAATATCTAAAGTCGGCTATTAGTCTTAATCAATGGACATTTTATACACAGTTATATATCGAGTCGTCAATGCCAGTGTAAACTTAACTCCAACAATAGATTACATAATGGATGAGGCAAAAGATAGGAATGTCTGGAGTAGGCCTTTGAATTATAACAAAAACACAGTAAATCATTTTCCAAGTATTCTTGGTTGTTTGAGTCATAGAGTGATGTGTTGGTTTTATCAAATAATAATTGCAAGAGTTCTTTGTCATACATTTTTAAACAAACCAGTACAAGATGTTTTATATAGAGACAAAAATAAAATGAACATCTCATGCATTTTTGAGGTCATGTGGTCAACACAATGAACATGGCTCTTTTGTTCAACAATAGAAATTGACTGATGACAAATAAGCTGCGGTTCAATATGGTTCTAGCTGTTTTAAGCTCAAAAAAATGTATACATAGCTTTTAAATTAATTAATAAGATCAGAAATCGTACTTAAAAAATCAAAAACTGTTTATACTTAATAAAGACATTATTTTACCTTAATAAAAGTTGGCTATCAAGTCTTGTATTGATAAAACTGGTTTTTCATTAAAATCTGATTATATCTGTTAACTATAAAGTTACTGGACATCAATAAATAAAATGCACTTAGCATTTTCATTGAATAATGAAATGAYCATAGTATCTAACAAAGCCACTAAAAAGATTTTGATTGTTGCGCCAACTTCACGTCAACGCTTACAACTTTTAACGCAAACACAATAAGCTTACGCTAAACATGCAAATTAAGCTTCCCAAAGTTGACTTTAAAATTATAATATCTAAAACAAAATAGAGTTACTGATACAATCCAGCAAGTGTTTTTCATGGCAATCTTAAAGGTTTTACGAGAAACTAGAAAAATGAAAATGTACCTGGTCTTGAGGCAGCTGAAATACAGTGGCACAGCGCCGTGATGACGACCAAACTAAGAAACTTGGCAGAACTTTTGCCTTGATTTATTGAGTAGTTGAGCCACATTATAAAATAGCACATGTATCTAGCATGGAAATGAATTGAATGGAATTATTTTAAACAAGTCAATTTACTAAACAAAAGAGATTTTTGTCCAATATGTTTGAAATCATGCTGCGTATACTGGTGGAATTTGGTGGTCTACCTATTTTTATGTCACGGAGGTCTTACTTTCTGACGTTGTGCGTGACGTATGGCTGATAACCGGAAATGATGATAAGTTTCTCAATCCACCCTTCCTACTGGAGACTGATAAAATCATTGAACAATAGAAAACAAAGCACAAGCAAAAAATCAAACAAACACACACACAAATCATTGTCAAATCAAAACAGGACAAACAGTCAAAAGAACATCAGCATCAAGCAAAAGATGGGACTCCGCTGACTTATAGCACTGTAGGCTGCAAATGGAGGGTGACAAATGGCGATGTGCATAACATTGAAAACTACCCGCCACGCAGGCTACATTGAAAACAAAAGATGAAGATCAACAGTTCAACGGTGTTGGTTGGAGATAAGGTAGTGCTTGTACCATATAAAGAGCACCATGTGACAAGGTAATCCAAAACCATCATAAAAACCAACGTGAGGTGCGGTGTATAACCTGAAAATTTGTATCCATTGTGGTAAGGGTACAGTAGTRTCCTTCACATTCACGGTTCCCTGCACCATCTTGAAAGGTAGCCGTCCCTTTACGTCTAAGCGAGGTCCTTCCATATACATCTTCGAGTCAATTTGTTTTTTTTTAAACTGAATTGCATATTCCAAGATGTTTTAAGTAATGTTAATCTGTTCAAGCAATCTTGTGACATAAATATTGTTGTAATATTTATTGACATAATTATTTAGGTACCATGACTGGATGCAGTCCTCAGAGCTGCTTGCACAGACAGCATCTGAAAGACTGACACTTGACCAGGAGTATGAAATGCAAAAGAGCTGGTATGAGGACACAAATAGTGAGTAATTGTTTTATCTGCATTTTTCATGAGTCATGATGTGGAATAGAAATAGAAAGTTGTATTAAGAATGGAATAATTATTCCAATGAATTTTGAAAATATTAATTTCCAAACTTTGATTAACYCACTACAGTCAACTCTCRCCTTGCGGACRCMCTGCTACAACAGACACCTCTATATTGCGGACAGTAAAATACTGAATCCCTGGCGAAAAATACAAAAAAATGACTGAAAGTAACCCTCGTTACTACAGACTCTGGCTACTGCGGACRCTAAATTACAGTCCCGAGGGTGTCTGTAATAGTGAGAGTTGACWGTAYCTTCGTGTTTGTATAGTGCTGATGCTCTACCAGCCAATCTAAAAGTCTGACTGGTATCAGGCTCGGATGAAATAGATAGTCTCTTGTGGAGGATTTCTTATTTATTTTATTGAGAAAACTGGTCAGTTTATTGTTTCCAATTTGAGCATGACGGGAAATTGCTAAAAAATGTTTTGAAACAGTTCAAACATTATAGGTAAACCTGTACTTTACCTCCTATTTATATAGTCTATAACTTATTTGTATTTTAAACTCATTGACTATTGATTAATGGGGACATTTTAGAATGTACATTCATTGTGCTCGATAAAAGGAGGTGGAGGCAATCTGCAGATGAAATAGGTGAGAGATGCACATATAAATGATATTTGTGAAGATATCATATTATCATATTATACTGTTTTGGAGGGGGGCTGGGGCTGGAAAATTCAGAGTAATTTTTCTTACCTAGCATTTCACCCTCCCTAGCTACACCAAAGCTAAGGGACCATTCATGTTTTTATGGGAGGGGCGAATGGGTGATTAAATGAGGGGTCTTGAAATTTTTCTAGTGGAAGAGTGGCAGGTACATGGAGGAAAATTTTTTAGTGCCTAGACGTGGCATGTGGATGTTTTTTTTGGGGGGTGGGGGGTGGTCRAAATATTTCTATTTTGGATAAGGGTGGGGATTAAGAAAATGTGTGTATTGTAGGGGAGGCCCCTAAAAAAAGTTAACTTTGCTAATTAATCATCTGCCCCCCATAAATAATGAACGGTCCCTAAAGTTATGACCCTCACCACAAAATTATGAAGAACACACCTAAAATGCCTCCCAGGTTCAAGACTTTTTTGGTTGGTTGTGCAGAAGGAGTGAAAAAATAGGAAATGYATTTAAAATCAGATGTAGMMTTKGAATGAAGAAACTTTAAATTTTTGTTTWAATTTCAAAGCTTTGAGCTGATACCTATAAAAATTGTAATTTAATAAAAAATTCACACCAAATTTTAATACTCATTCTTTTCACTTTCTTGGGAAAGTGCACAAGGCTGAGAAAATTGTTCCACTCAGAAAAAAGAAGTTCAAAGGACAAATATGAGACACTCRATTTAAGCTCAAGGTTCCTAAAGTTAGTTTAAAACGATGACCAAGATCCCTACATTAAGTGTATATTAATAGCAGTATTAATAGTAATCTAGACCRAACTGGGTCAAGCCCTGGCAGTGATTTATATTATAATATACTGGTATAGACCACTGACTGCGTGACACTTGAGCATGTCAGTCCATAGACTATAGGTATGACCTCATGCCTAGGCGTTCACCTGAGGTCATAAGACATAGCATAGACCAATAAGAATAGAACACATTTCAACTACTACTAGACTAAGTATACCTTTAGCAATATTGTGCAATAGGCACATTATAATTTAGCCATTCTGTGTTATCGGGCAATAATTTTTCCCGCCCACCCGCCACTAGCTCCTACTCGGTAGTATATGATCTATATCTGAATTKTTAGTTGTGATATGTATGTTTGTAAATAGGGTATGACATATAGCTGCATATGTATGTACTATTTCATGTACTGTTTCATTTTCTGTTAAAATAGTTAGTTTTATTTCTTATATTTACTCTTACATTGTAATAATAAAATTATTGTTGAATTTATAATAAATACTGCCAGAGACCAACCCAGTCTTGTTTTGCCCAAGGTTTAGCCAAAATTTAAATATGTGACCCTCCCTAAATTCTACTTTTTCTATTTTGACACTCCAGCGRGCTGACTCTAGTCATCCCCCYTCAATACAATAATATTATGTACCTTCCCTAAACACATTTTTATGCATTCACGTTATATKTATTTTTTTTCCTCAAAAGATAGCATGGTTGGCGATGTTAATTTATTTTTTAACGATGAAAATGATCCACAAACAGCAGAAGTTGAAGTTATGATAGCAGGTAAGAGTAAAAACAGCCTGATCAATTTTAATAAAAATAATCTTTATTTCTCAAATATCTATATAATATTATTATTTACAAAATTTTACTCAAAAGTTGAGTAAATGTATTTCATAAAATTGTAAAATTAAAATGTAAAATATTATAGTAGAAATGGAAACTTGTTTTAAAGAGGAGGGCAGTGTTTAGTTTGTTTAAAAGTATTCATCCATCCAAAAAAAAAAAAAATAAATAAATAAATAAATAAATAAATAATAATATACCTCCCACTAGGTTATTTGGCAAAAATTATTTATAATCATCATCATCATGATAGAGATAACACCTTTATTGAATAACAATAGCTTTTATCATATAATTATCTATGAAATACGTATAATTATTTCTCCATTACGTAAAATTGATATTTTCACTAGTGAAAATAACACATTCGAGGTTTCTCTATATAGCGGAAGAAAGAAAAAAAGTTATTTTAAGACATAACTTGCTTTCATATTTAATTATATGATAAACAGAATATTACATGGTCGCTTGGAGATACGAATTTTATCTTCTCGTGTTGAAAATCTCTCACTTGTTCGCTACGCTCACTCATGAGAGATCTTCTCAACACTCGAAGATAAAATCCGCATCTCCGCGCGCCCATGTAATATCCTCTATATAAGTAATAATAATATTTACAATAAAAGAGTAAGCCTAAAAATAAAAGCCTAAAAATCGAAAATAAATAAAAAATGAAACATCGGTGGTAACTACATTAAGTCTGAAGTCATGACAATGATAATGATAATAATATGGTTTATTTTGTGCAGAACCAACATACAGAGGTCAAGGTCTTGGCAAGGAGTCTGTTCTGATCATGATGCATTATGGTAATGTCATGTATATTATCATAGTTGATACTTTATTTAAGATGAAAAGACACCGTCTTGTGGCTGACTTTTTGTGGAGTTGCTGTTGCATTTTCTTGCGTTATCTCCTTGCATGGGTCACAARCAKAAGATATTTTTCASAACTGGAAATGTATTGTGAATGGAATGAAGTAGCTGAGGAAAAATGGCTCTGTCAGTTCTGGAACATATGATCTGCTTTGTGGAGCTGACAGCCACCAGCAAAAACTAAAACAATACCCGGACAAAACCTTCAAAGTGTTAATTATATGGGGGGGGGGGATGTTTGTTTGCAAAATGAAACCGGTACCATTTCTAAGTTTTTGCATCACTGAAGGAAATTGACAATTTTAATTCCCAAAGTGAGCAGTAGGGGGAATGRTGACTAAATGCTATATACAAATCCTGAGGGTATATATCCCCATGGTCCAGCAATATCTTTCCCAAAACTTAAGAAGCCCCTCATCCACTGGGATAAAAACTAAATAACAAAACCCAGTGATTCCCCCTGGGTTTCCCTGGGGTAAAATCAAAAACCCCAGGTAAAATGATGTGCATGAAAGTGCACAAAAAGTAAGGAACTTCAAAAACACATCTCTTGGTTGACTCAGATTGCCTTTATAGCCATATTAATATGCATACCTGACACCCAGATTGGCAGATTCTGTGTACAGCTTGATGCAAAAGTTGTATAATTGTAAACTAGTTAATTTCAGTATTTGTCCAGTGATAGAAGAATAGAAGTCAGACCAAAAAAGTATCCATTGATTTCAGGTGTTTCCAAAGTTGGAGCCAGACAATTTACAGCTAAAATTGGCTACAACAATAAACCAAGTTTAATTCTTTTCAACAAACTTGGTTTTAGTCAGGTAAGGGAATAACATTATACAAGGCCATTGTCAATGTTGCCTAACATAAAGTACCTAAAAAGACTTTTTATAYAAACATATAGGATGTATACAGATTATTTGTATTTTTTATTAAGTAATGATATTATATTTTTGTAATGTGGCAGGTTTCTTCTAGTGACGTATTTCAAGAAATGACCCTGCAGCTTTATGTTGATGATAAAACTCTCAAAGAATTGAACAGTTATTATATGCAATACGTAACAGAGCAGATATATCCATACACAACTCCTGGTTAATGTCTGGAAGTATTATTTGCATTTGATATAGTAAGATAAAGTAATGTTGGTGGTCATCAAGTTAGTGTCATGGCACATAACACTGTCTTCTAGTAGTCATGCATACAAAGGCTATTATATTATGTCAGTAATAGTAAGGTGATGTGCYAGCCTATTACCTCTTCATGAACTACTTGAATATAAAAAAATAATTTGTCAAACAATAAAGGCTTTGTTCCAAACTTCTAAAACAAAYAAAGTATGTAAAATGCATGTACACTGTAATTCTGTCTTAAAATTTAAAAGTTATCTTATCCTCCTACAAATATTATTAATTTTTCDAACATGATGGATAAAGCTTTCTTAAAACATTTGGTCCCCTTTTATAAATGACACTTAAATTTCTTTTTTTTAAACCAGTTTTAAGGACTTTTATTGGTGCACTCTATGGACCTTTATGGTTTTTAGACAAGGTATTTCTTTCTGTATCTCTGATTCAGTGAAAGGGAAATAAAAAAGCTAGTATTTGCTATTGGTGATTTGAGATAATCAAATCGTCCTTTGTTCATGCTTACTATGCCACTTGCTAGTTTTGACCTGAGAGAGGAGAAATATTTCTTAAATTCATGAGTGATATCCCTAGATTATGTGATACTATCTACAGTGACTTTCTCAGGATGGACTTCATTTTTATTCTTGACCATATCATTTTACGGTRCTCTCGGCCTCGTGGACTACGAGCTAATAGCCCATTCGGCCTCGCAGACTCSGCCTCATGGGCTATTAGCTCGTAGTCTACTCGACCTCGAGGTCTAATTGTTAAATAGCCTAAACCAGTAGTTTCAAATAAAAACAGCTGGACCCATATATACACTTTTAATATTATAAATTCAAGGTTATGATGTAAACACTTTTTGACACAACATGAAAACACTTTTTGACATAACATGCTGTACAAAATGTATACAATACAATTTAAGGCTATGAATTATTTACAATAAAAMGAAAAAAATTCATAGTGGAAATTTTTTTTTAATTGTAAATACACTTTGTTTTGTATGAGSAAAAAACTGAAGTTGATGGACTATGAAGGTTGCACTCCTTAGACAATGACACTTGCTCTTATCAGCGCAATAACAAAGGGCAAACTTTAAATATGAATAACTCTGAGGCAACTGTAAAAACAATACAAAAAATGAACAGGAAGAAAGATGGCCCAACACTTGTTCCTGTTGGCAGTTTGAATGCTTCTCCTCCAATTTCTGGCATATGGAAACCAAGTGGAAATATCAATGCAGCAAAACAGAACACTGTCACTGCAAAAAAGTAAAAACAACAATTGTTATGTGTGTACAATTTAATCATGGCAAAAACTTAAATAATTTATGCAAGTTTCTTTAGAAAAGTTTCTTATAATTTAATGAAATGAAGCCAACAACACTTACTTGCTAAAAATGCAATCCACCTTGCTGCAGACATACAAGATGGTTTCCAGAATGAGATGAATATCAATAACCAACTAAGAGTTAATGATAACACACCAACCAGTAAGAATGCCAAAGTTGCTTTCCATTCACCTGGAAGGTCGGGACTAATACAGACTTCTGGTTGCCGTGGAGACTTTTGACACATAACAATCAGTCCAAGGTGAATAAAACCTTTTTAAAAGGCAAGCGACAATATTACTTAGTGTTGTTACACTTACAGTGAGTAAACTCTAACAGGAACTACTTCCATGAAGTAGTTAATCACATATTGCAGTGTTCACAAATGACGGCCAACAAATGTCAAATGTCCACCAATTCAAGTTGATAATCTCTTGTCAAATGCCTGGGGGATATTGGGAGGGGTGGCCACCTTTATCAAAATGTTGAATATTATATGGATATTATCTGATATACAGAAATTATGATCATTTTGACTCATATTTCAAGTATATATAAAATATATCAGAAATTATGGGATATGACTGCTGATATTTTTTTGAAGTTGCATAGCACTAGTACTTTCTAAAAAAATATTGGAGATGATAACCATAATTTCTGATGTATTTTATCTATACTTGAAATATGAGTCTGCATACAGCCTTTTGCACAAATTATGAGACATTTTTATATATATAAATATACCTAACCAAATATCAAAAACACCCAAGAAATTATGGGATACCGTCACTGATATTTTGTCATGATTGCCTAGCATCAGGTTGTTACAGACAAAATATCAGCGACGGTATCCCATAATTTCTTGGGTGTTTTTGATATTTGGTTAGGTATATTTATATATATAAAAATGTCTCATAATTTGTGCAAAAGGCTGTATTGCTTTAAATGTTTTACGTATTAGCATTATCAGGTTAATTAGATCCACCTTCTGATACATAGGTTATACATTGGTTAATACACTGGTTAAGCTTTCAGCTTCTTAACTTATATGAAAGCTTATAAGCTAAGTTAAAAGCGAATGGTTTACAATATTATTAGTTATAATAAGCTTATTAACTTAGTACCTGAGAGTTCTGTAACAACCCATTTCGGTGTTGCCAAGGCAGCAATAGCAAAAACATCAGCTGCGAAGCACAATATTCCTCCTATAATCACGAATTTGTCCATTTTCGACTTAAGCTTAATTAAGCTTCGTGCAAAATGAGTTTTCACTTTGACATTGCGTTCTAGTTTGTTGTGAAAAAATATTATCCATCAAATGGCGAGTCTTGATAACAGCATATAAGTTAAGCTTAGTAGATGCAAAAATAGTTCCGAGGAACAAAATCAACGGCCAATGATTATAATTTCGTGAGTCGGAGAACAGAACACAACTAACAAAATATTTCTTGATTGAGTTACGAGTTATTACGAATTTCACGAACTCTTATCGACTGAAAATGCGAGGCCCTCTAGTGTGACGTCATTCCCAAACATTTTAAAAATCCGAAGAAGTATCGATTGGTTTAAAGGGACAGCATAACAATAAGCCACAATGCAGGCTGCTACAATGAGATAGAACCTAACGTTGGAAAACTAGTGATAAAACGCTTTGAATATTTTTTAGCGGAGCTTCGGCCCGCGCGAGCGGAGCACCATAGCTAAGAAAAAATGGTATACCATCATAGGCTGCCTAACTATTGCTTGAGAGGCTTTTAAAAGTACGAATGCGCTTGCATTAAAGGGACACTGTCAATGGATGACATGCGCGAGTAAACTTGAAAAGTTTAYGACTCCAAACTGGCGCGACATAAATCAGATCGTAAACGTAAACAGATCTACAATATCTGCTCTCTGCAACGACTGCTCTCTGCAACGACTTCAAAACGATAGAAATATTAAAATACTTTACAAAATAAAAGATGCCTATAAAATAATAAGTCGCCTTTTTTTATTGATAAACAAAGTTTCTTCTTGTTCTAATTTGAAATCTTTGCCCACACAAGACTGTCTAATGCTAGAAAGGTCATTGATTCAGTTTCGTAAGCATACTACTCGAAGCTCCATGTGATCCACACATGCACATATTTTGGATGCCTAGACTGATGCATTCCGATGAGACCACAGATACCACATTTGTAAACCAATAGTTTTCCGGTGATCCAAATACGTCAAAATACACAGATTGATTGGCAAAGAGGTAAAACTCAAGTCGACCTAGCCTTCGGCTAGCCTGACTAATAATGTTGCCATATGGGGTTAGGGGTTACTTATGGGGGTACTTAATATGACCATCATGTCTGTTGTTTTAATGACCTTTCATGTAAAGTTGACTGGTTTGATTTCAGCAGTATGAAGATCAACAAGCGTTTCTAATATAATTAAATGCATTCTACACCAAAATATGTCAAAGTTTGTGTACTTCCAGAAAATGTTGCCACATCTTTGTTTACRTGACAATTCAGATCAATTCTTGCCAAAAGTTACAGAATTTTTGTAGATATATCTAGTATATTCAAAATATTTAATCAGATTAAATGCTCAAAATTTATTCAGTCGTGCAGTTCCAGAWATAAGCAATAAAACCACCTGCCTTGGAGCAACTTCCTTATTATTCAAAGTGGGAGACTGGAAAACCTTTAGAGATAGGGGTGTGTGGCAAACAATAAAGTAAATTTATGAAGAAAGGTTGTGACTTCGACAGTGGCTTGGAAGTTCATAGTGGTCCTTTTACAGACTTTCACTACAAGTGCAACGTTTAATCTGAATGGCTTGTTCTGCAAATGCAAATTATTATTAATTGACTTTCTACCCTGTCAGTCCTTGAGGGGGGTTGAGAAGAGGGTTAGGGTTAGAGGCCAGAACTGGACTAATAAAGCTTGAAAGTCACAGTAACTTTAAAAAAAGGATTATGTTACAATGTCTATTTTCTACCACTGGACACCACATCTTTTTTTGTACTGCCTATCTCTGTAGTTTCACCTATAATCACAATCTTTTTTCTAGTGGTAAAGTATTACTGGTCGAACTAACCAAAATACCACTTGAAGCCACTGAATCTTTATGTCATGTAAAAGTTTAGAATTWTTTCAGTATTTATTATTCTCCATTTTAATGATTTCCTTGACAAAGGAAGCCAATACACCAAGTTGGCACTTCAGTGTCTCATTTTTGACCAGAAAGACATTGTATGGTTGTATGGTAGTAGGTATTACTTGCAGTTAAATCTATAAATATCAATTATTATTAATAATGGACAATAAAATAGTAGCACAGATTGAAATTGTATTRAATAAAATTACAATACAGATCCCAAATAATATTTACTGTAATTTACATAGCAGAAATTGATAGTGCTGCACACTGTTCTGATCACTATAACTCTTCAATATCAATTTAATTTTAAAAGTCCAAGAGCTGTAAATGAGAAGAAAATATCATATGTCAGGTAGGTTTTGATTTTGATGGTGTTTTATTTAGTGGGCTAAGTAATGGAAAAATATCATTAAAACATAATGTGCATTATTACCAGCTGAGGAAGTATTTTCTCTAAATGCTCAGTTTGTACAGTAGCTGCTTCTTCAGACTAAAAACAAATAAAGACGTGCAGTAAAAACCTGCATAAAAGAACCTACATTTTTAGGAAGTGGCCTAAACAGGTTCTTATATAAATGGTAGTTAACACAATAAGGCTTCTTAGGTTCTTTCTGAAACAAGACAAGACAGTTATTTGCCTATTCCCTGTTTTCTGACCCCACCCCTATATCCCCAAC